GGTATAACTACTCAATGCCCTGATATGGGTCAGAGCTAACCCTCTAGGTTTTGTCAGCCCTAGTCGTGCGCCTAGGGAACTTCCCACTGTTCTACCGTAACCATTGACTGGTGCTGCCTCAAGGTTGAACACCGATGTCCTCTCGGGATAAATCTCGACCGTGGTCTCGAGCCTTTGGAAACCTTGCTCACGAGGCGTTATAATGGCCGAAAATTGGACCCTCCGATTTTACCGTACACATGTATACACTGAGGGATTTTTTGGTTATAGGGATTAGAAAAATTAATCTCAGTATAAAATTTAGGTTAATTTTATTCCATATGTTGTTCGATTTTTTTCCCCCAATATAATCAATATCTAAATTATTTTATACGACAATTATGATATTTTTTTATACGAGATTCAACATGGATTTCTAATATATATTGGGATTAACAATCCTTGGATAAAAACACCTAAAACCTCTGTTTTATAAGGCAAAATTGGGACTCGCCTCGGGGCGGAGCACTCTTAAAATGCCCCTGGGCTTATGTGTGGGGCTTAGTTCCGTGAAACTTATGCCTTGGCAATCGGAGCTTACGCCTCGGACACGCCCAACGCCCATCGTACTGGGCACTCCTAATAGAACTTTATGCAATTGTATGTAACTAACCTTGTAAATCCTCAAATTTTCTTAATAAATCGTTGACTATTCAAAATTACTTTTTTCTTAATCATAAATCATTAAGTTGAGAGTATTTTAAGTCATAATAAAAATAAAAATTATTGCACGTTATCCACTAAGACTACTATGATAGTTAATTTTTAATAAGTCTTTCATTTAAAAAGCATTTATTTATTAACTTTTGTTATGTCTTTACTATATAATAGTCCATAATTTTTTTATAATTATTTTTCTAAATATTATTTTTTTCATGTTTACAAGATACAATACTTATTAATTTAATAGCTCAATATTAGCTAGTACCTATTTATAAATAATTAGTTATCATGGTATTGTATGGTGAATTATGTGTCACTTAACTAACTTGTTGAAACTTAAAAATAAATGATGCTAGAGAATCATATTTAAATTGTGAATTATGTTTTTATATAAATTCTCTTTCAAATAGAAAGCATATTAAATAAAAGGAGTATTTTAAGAAAAATATCAATTATAATATCGAAATTCTTTCAAGATTCATTACTCCTTAAGAGATACATATAAGATTTCGTATCGAATACATTACTTTTGATGTTTGAGTTGTAACAGCGTTGCGGCTAATTTGCATATTATGATATAAATCATACTTTTCGTATTATTCATAGTTGAATTATAATTTATCAATATTTTAAATATATTATTTGTTATAATTTTGTATTTTAATGTAATTTTTATAATTATTTTTTATTTTATATTATCTTGAAATCCGTGGGACTTACGCCCCATGTCTCATGGCTTACGCTTCGCCTCGCCTCACGCCCCCCGCCTTTTAAAACATTGCCTAAAACACCAAAAAAATCCGTAATTACCTTTTTCTTTTTTCTTGTTTACTTTTAAAAATAAATTAAGCTAATATTGTAAGCAAAACTATATCCAACTTAAAATTATATACATGGTTTTTCGTGCATAAATGTGTACGAACCAGACAGCCCCTAATAGTATAAAACTTTTTCACAATCAGTGCATATTCCACTTGGATATACATTCATGTAGTGTATGTGCGCGGTGGCGCATGCAGGAATTTTTGTAAGCAGTGTCAATATTTAAAAAAGCAAAATAAATGAATAAATTACTGTAATGGCAAACGGTATCATATTTTATATTTATACCGAATATTTTAATTTAGTTATTATTTATACATAAAAAAATTCGACGATATATATGTACGTATCCGATAGTGTAAAAAGTTTGAAAGATCTAGCAAGAAATATTTTGCTTACAACTCACTATCACGTGGATATGACTTTGTCACAGTTATCTCAAGACTTCGATTATGTATCTTGTGTTATTCAAAGGGGTTTTATGAGTACTTTGTGAGTGTTCTCAAACAGTTTCTTTTTTGTTTGTGGAAAGTTTTACCAAATAAATATATCTGGAATATAAGGTGCATGTTAATTAACATTTTTGTGGAAGATTAGGATATTTGATGACAAACTGTAGAAGAATATAGTCTATAATCTAGAAGGCTATTCAGGTAAAGATTTCTTCAAATAATAATACCTAAAATGGAAGACCACAAAATAAAAGCACAAAAATCTCGGAAATTATTGAGGGTAGCTAGTTAGCTATCACTTATGTGACCTTTTATCTCCCCCCCCCCCCCGAACAACCCCCAACCCCAACCCTACCTACTATCGCGCGCGCACACACACACACTACTACTACTACTACTACTCTCTAC